GAGACCAAATATGGGGTCAGGGAAAGACTTCAAAGGTCTGGAGTGCAAGCTTTGGACGCTGGCGCCTGGGGGTCCAATCCCCACCATCACGTGAACCCCCCAACTGAACAGCACGGTGTGGGGGGCAGCCCCCCTGAACACCAATGGGCGTGGCCCCCAAAGTAAGGGTGAGCGCTGATGGTTTGTACAGTCTAAGGCAGCGCTGTTCTACAGTTGGACTGTTTGCTTTGGGGACACACCCAGGGATGCTCCGGGCTTATTCCTGGCTCTGCACTCAGGGAATCACTCTTAGGCGGAGGGGGGAGGAGGGAGGAGAGAGGGAGGGTGGGGATCATATGGGATGCCAGGTCAGCTGTGAGCAAGGCAAGCTCCCTCCATCTCTTGGGCCCAGCGCCTCTGCTTTAAAGGACCAAGGAGCTCCCAGAGAGAGACTAAAGAGCCCCCAGAGAGAGACTAAAGAGCACCTTCTAGGAGGAAAACACGAACCCAGAGGGTTCTCCAGGGAGCTGGAGCACTTTACTCGCCCTGCCTCTTAGGATTTGCCCCAGTACAGAGGGAAGGTGATTCGTTTCCATAATAAAAAAAAAAAATTAAAAAAAAAACCTTTGAAAGATGCCTTTGTTTTTTCACAGGACAGCTACAATGGGAAAAGCATCCTGACAGCTGTGAAAACAGTCGATCGCCAATGCCAGCGTTTTTCTCTTCGGGGCTGGGTTTTCTTTCCCTCCGCCTGAACCCCAACCGCATAGTTCAAAAGCCCCAGCTGCACCCCTGCATTGTCTTGAATAGGCTGCCACCTAGTGGCAGTCACTGGGAAACACATCCGTTTGGGCCACAGGAGCATCTGCCTAAGGCTGATTCCTGGGCCAAGGGGGTCCCTTCCTGGCAGTACTCAGGGGACTCTAGATGGTGGTTGGGTGATCAAACTGGGGTCAGCAGTGTGCTAGGCAAGCGTGCCATCTCTCTAGTCTCCAAATTTTCAAGAAGTTATTATATTAGTCATCCTTGCAATCCTATAATAAAATTGTATAAAGTTTTGTAAAATTATAAAATTTGTTAATTTTATAATTAAAATAATAAATAAAATTAAAATTAAAATATAAAAAACATACCCAATATGCCAAATACCAGTAACAATGATGGGTCTCATTCTCCTAACCCTGAAAGAGTCTTTAATATGACCCTTTTTAAAAAATCTCAGGGCTAGGATGAAGGAGACGTTACTGGGGCCTGCTCGAGGCAATCGACGAACAACAGGATAGTTGTGGTCGTGATCATTAATTTTATTAAGATTAACAAGTCTCACTATGGAGACGTTACTGGGCCCGCTCGAGCAAATTGATGAACAATGGGAGCCCAGTGCACAGTAAATTAAGATTATAAAATTGCAATAAAATGTCCAGAATTTTGCTAACGATTTTTTTCCCTCTTTACCCTTAAGTGAAACTACTCTGTAATGTCCTTTAACATCTGCCCTTGTCTGGTTTGGGAGTAAGAAAAAGGAGGTTGTCCCCAGACGGGCAGTTTCTTTTTTTTTCTCCAGAGAAATCTCTTTCATTTGTAGGAAGCTCAGTCTATAATGTATTCAAAATCACCTTCAGTGGTTTGGGTTTGCCGGTTTGTAGGGGGGATGGAAGTCCTGAATGTATCCAGGGTCATTTTACACAGATCCTTTTTCGAAAATTACTTTTTCTAGGAAAGCATTCACTTGACACAGATTTTCCAGTCCAGCAGAAAACCATGTTTATATTCTCCTGGTGATGAAAAAAAGAATAAGGCATTTCTGTGGTTGAGTCTCCTGGTTCGTGCCTAGCCTGGCTGGTCATTATCCTTTTGTCTTGATTATTTTGGCTACTGGTGTGTATTTTGTTAGACCTCTGACTTCAGGATTTGTTAGTAATCTCTCACATGGATTTGTTTTCTGTTGCATGACGCTGGTCTCCAGTGCTTTCATTATCTGAGGTTTTCGGCTCCTTTTTTCTCTTCTTTTTCTTCGTTTTTGTTTTGTTTTGTTTTCCACGAGTTGGGGGTGAGAGGCAGATAGAAGCCGGGGCGGTTGCATGCAAGACAAGCATCTTTGGGCCCTAATTATTTTCTGCCCAAGCAAAATTTCCCATGAGGGGAACTTTCTTTACGATATTCATTTTCCTCCCCCAAACACTGAAAGTTGCCTGGTTGCCCCGATTTTAACATAACACAAGATTTCGTTGTCTTTTTTTCATGAAACATGAAGTTCTGAGTGTTTCGCCCCGGTTCTTTTTATCTCCTTCCAGTTCAAAAATCCTCACATCTCTTAAAAGCCAGAATTCCCTTAGAGCCACAGCTGGGCTCAGAGCATTCAAGCGGAAACATGATCTTTGTAGTTGGAGCCCTTTTCAACCCCAGAAAATTGGCTGAACCTGACCTCCACAACTTGCTTCCTGTCTCCATACTGCTCTCCTGGGCACATGGAGAACCCTGGCCTTTCTCGGTCCTTGGGACTCTCTGAATAATATTTACGCTTGGGCATCTGTAGGATAACACTGTTCTGTCCTTTCTGCATAGCCTCAGGTAGCTTAGGTTTATTGGGTTACTCCCATCATAGTGCTCCCATTCCTCTGTGTTTATTTGTAACTTCTTTCTTTGTGCTCTGTTGACTTGTAAATATTGTTTTTCTCTTTGCCCTAAGTCCTTTTTCATTTTTCATTTCATCATCCTGTTAATCGTCGATTGCCTCGAGCAGGCCCCAGTAACGTCTCTTTCATCCTAGCCCTGAGATTATATTCACGGCTCTTTAGGAGAATGAGACCCATTCTCCTAAAGTCCTAAATCCTTTGCATTAGTTTATTCAGAGCAATGTCCTTTTTGTATGGACACAAGAAGACATGCTTTTGTAATGTGACTCTCAGTGATATTCCCCTCCTGGGCATCTGTTCTCTCACCTAAGCCTCAGCTGCCTTTACTTCCTAATGCCCCCAAAAGCAGGGTCCCAACAAGGGACTGGATGGAACCAGAGCAAGTAGTAAACTATGTGCTACCCTGGCATCAAGATGGGCCTGGCCATAAGCACTAACTTATAATGCTTAACTATAAGTTAAGAGCTTGGTCATGGACAAATGCAATCATGATCCAAAAGTAGTAACTAGATTTGGACCCTGCTAGGGTCAGGAATGATTAATCTGGCCTGAGCGCTATAGTCTGAGTCTGTGGCAAGATGTTCCCAGGAGAGCTGCCCTACAAGTCTCAATGTTATCTCTTACTGTGTCCATACAAAAATAGCTAGTATTGATATGTTGATAGTTCTTGGACTGAGGAAAAGAGAAAAACACCTTTAGGAGGTATTTTGCCTGGGGCAGTCAGGAAGGGCTTTAGTATACCTTTTAGGTGGGCCCTCAGGAAAGGCTCTCTTATGTTGATTTTGCTACCTGTCTGGGTGCAGAGTCAGCCCAGAGTGCAGGGGAGTTGGAGACCAGAGAGAAGAGAGAGAGAACAGGACAGCAAGATGGACCACGAAGAGGCAAGCAAGGGGGAACACGTGCTTGGAAGAACCTGGGTCCTCCATAACATAAATTTCTTCTATGGGATAAACTTTCTTGTAATAAACTGCTACTAAGATCAACCAGCCTGGCCCTCGTCTCTTCCTTCGTCTGCCCTTGGCCAACAGCCGTGCCGATCCAGGCCACACACTGAGGCTCAAGAGCACCAAACACCGGCAGTGATACGGGCCGTCCAGAGAGCCCGTGAACACACAACCTTCAGCGTGCATAGTTTTTTACAGGCATCCATCATATTTACTTGACTTAAGCCTCTGTTGCCCTAACTTCCTAACACCCCCAAAATGAGGGTCCCAGTGAGGGATTTGGATGGAACCAGGACAAACATAAGCTATCCTGGCAGAGAAAAGGAACAGGTTAAGCACCGTAAAATGTATAATCAATTAAGAGCACACTCATGGAACAAACTCTGTCATGATCCAAAAAGAAGGAACTGAATAAGGACCCTGCCAGGATTAGGAAAGATTTACCTGGCCTGAGGACTGTAATCCGGGATAAACAGCGAGTCTGTCCCCAGGAAGAGCCACGCTTTAAGCTTAATTTATCTCTTACTGTGTTCATACAAAATGACTAGAAATATTATTAAGTAAATTTAACATGATTATTTAAATGGATTCCTAGCTAAAGAGGGCTGGAGCGATAGCACAGCGGGTAGGGCGTCTGCCTTGCACATGGCCGACCCGGGTTCGATTCCTCTGCCCCTCTCAGAGAGCCCGGCAAGCTACCAAGAGTATCTCGTCTGCACGGCAAATCCTGGCAAGCTACCCACGATGAATTCGACATGCCAAAAAACAGTCACAACGGGTCACACAATTTGTTGTGAGATGTTACTGGTGCCTGCTCGAGCAAATCGATGAACAATGGGAGGACAGTGACAATGACAGTGACAGTGACTAGCTAAAGAAAGGAGAAAGCAACAGCCCTAGGTGAGATCCCACCTTTGAGTGAGCCTCCTAGCAATCTAGAGTGCTGAACCCCCAGACGAGATTTTGTCCTTGAGTTATCTCCTAGAACTTCCCCTGAAGGAGGAAGTTTATTGTCTATTGATTGTTTATTGTTTATTGTTATGAGTTCGATTCCTCTGCCCCTCTCGGAGAGCCTGGCAAGCTACCGAGAGTATCTCACCTGCACAGCAAAGTTTGGCAAGGTCCCTGTGATGTATTCAATATGCCAAACACAGTAACAAGTCTTACAATGTGACTGGTGCCTGCTCAAGCAAATCGATGAAAAACGGGAGGACAGTGACAGTGACAGTGACAGTTATGATAATGTTCACCCCCACCTATGTGTAATCCCCATCCTTCATGATTTCTATATAACTAATGCTGTGAGAAAAAAAAAAAAAACGCTGATTACCAATCAGCCTGTGGCCTTGTTTCTCCATCCCATCGTCTCTGTCGGCTGGGAACAGTTCTCGGCCACGGGACGCGCCCAGGCTTGAACACACAGCGCCCTACCTTGCCCTACCTTGCTCTGTAGCTGTGGGGTGTCCCAGGGCGCACTCATGGTCAGGGAGCCTCGTCGCTGGAACAGACACTGCAGCGCCGCCTCCAAGGACCCGTGGGCTCCAAGCACCAGCACCTTCTTTCCTTCTAGATCAACACCTGGGCACCGAACAGAAAAGCAGCATGAGGGTGGGCTTGGGGCCTCTCTCTGTGCGCCTCTTGCTTCAGGGAAAAGAAACGAGGTGGTTGGGGGGGAGGGGGCGGGTAAGGAGCCCAGGACAGCAAGGAGGGCCTGTCTGGCACTGGCCGGCCCGGGTTCCATCCCAGAGGGTCCCACAAGCACCTGCATTCCTGAGTGCCAGGAGAGATTCCTGAGCATCGCAGGGTAGCACTGTAGCACTGTCCTCCTTTTGTTCATTGATTTGCTTGAGTGGACCCAGTAACGTCTCCATCATGAGACTTGTTACTATGATTGGCATATTGAATACATCATGGGTAGCTTGCCAGGCTTTGCTGTGCAGGCGAGATACTCTCAGTAGCTTGCCAGGGCTCTCCGAGAGGGACGGAAGAATTCAACATAAATGAAATAATAAAAGTTGAAGGTACAATGTCAGGGTCAGAGACTAGTCAGTACAGGGTCAAGGCAGGCGCCTGCCTGGCCTGAGGCTGACCGTGGCTCAGTCCCCGGCACTATCTGCTCCTCAAGTGTCGCTGGCTACTTCGAAACCCTCTCTAAAGAGAACGTGAGTATCAAGGCCAGAGAGACAGTGACAGCGGCCCACCCAGTTCTGTCCCTGGCACCACCACAGAGGGTCTGCTGAGCTCATGGGAGTGAGCCCCGGGGAGGGCACCTACCAGACTTCTCCAGGAGTTCGAGCACAGCTCTGGCCACAGGGGAAACGAAGCACTCCTGGGCATCCCCTCGCACCAGCTTGCCCAGGTTTATATCCGTAACGCTGAAAGGGAGAAGGAAAAAAAAAAGTGGGTCTAGACGCGCTCATCTGCCATGAGCCCAAAGCCAGCGACTGGTGGGAACCACTGCAAAATCGGTGACATGTGTCGGAGCGATAGTATAGTGGAGAAGGCATTTGCTTTGGATGTGACTGACCTGGGTTCGATCCCCGGCATCTCATAGGACTCCCCCCCCACCACCAAAAAAAAAAAAACCTGCCGGAGTAATTCCTGAGGGTAGAGCCCTGAGCATCACCAGGTGTAGCCCAAAATAAACCAAAATCAGAAACAGATTAAAAAGTCAGCAAGTGGCGTGGATGAGGGGTGAAAAGGACTCTCATTATTGATGGGAATGCCCACTGGTTCAGTCTTTTGAGAAAACAATATGGGCATTCCTTCAAATATTAGAAACTGAGCTTCCATATGACCCAGCAATACCACTTCTGAGAATATATCCCGAGGGTGCAAAAAAACACAGTAGAAATGACATCTGTACCTAAATGTTCATTGCAGCACTGTTCATGATAGCCAGAATCTGGAAATAACCTGAGCGCCCGAGAACAAAGTTAAAGAAACTTTGGTACATCTACACAATGGAATACTGTGCAGCTGTTAGGAAAGATGAAGTCATGAAATTTGCTTATATGTGGGATGGTCATGGGGAGGATCATGCTAAGTGAAATGAGTCAGAAAGAGAGGGAGAGACAGAGAAGGACTGTACTCATTTGTGGAATATAAAATAACGTAAAATGAGACTAACACCCAAGGACAATAGAGACAGGGCCAGGAATACTGCTCCATGGTTGGAAGCCTGTCTCATGAGCTGCGGGAGAAGGCAGCTGGCATAGAAAAGGGATCACTAAGTCAGTGATGGTTGGAGGGATCTCTCGGGATGGGAGTTGTGTGCTGAAAGTAGAGAAAGGACCAAACGTGACGGCCTCTCAGTATCTGTATTGCAAACCATAATGCCCGAGAGTAAAGAGAGGATACAGGGGATATTGTCTGCCACAGAGGCAAGGTGGGAAGTGGTGGAAAATGTGCACTGGTGAAGGGATGAGTGTTTGCTCACTGTATGACTGAAACTCAAACATGAAAGCTTTGTAACTGTATCTCATGGTAATTCGATCACGATCACAACGATCAATAAAAAAATAAATAAAAATCAGTATTTCCAAAAAATTTAAAAATAAATAAAAAGCCAGCAAGGATAGAGGCTTCCTATGAGCAGTCCTTAGGAAAGAAAGTTCCAGGTAGGTGGGTCACCTGAATGGAAAAAACTGGGCGGGGGGAGGGGGGTTGTTCCTGGTTCTGCCTGGAGCCAGACCATGCACACAGCCCCTTAGGACCTAGGCTGAAAGAACTCCCACATGGGGAGTCCACGAGCAGTTGCAGAACTCTGGGCTGCGCTAGGAAGACCAAGACTCCTGAGAGTCAATATTTACCTCCCGGGGCAAAGGGGGCCAGAGGGACAAATGAGTGCCAGACACTCTGAATGGCATCTGTGTTCCTCCTCATTCAGACCTCGGATCCCACCCCCTGAGCTCGACCGACATCTCCTAACAGGTCAGCGACACAGCGGGGACCCTGGACGGAAAGTCCAATCGCTCCTTCACAAGAAGATGCGGAACCGGCCTGATCTTGTCTGGCTCTGAACACCCTCATGCAGACGAGACAGAGGAATTTCTTGGTTCAGGTCACTGCTACCGTTTCTCACAAGCCTCAGCCTGAGTTCACAGACAGCCCACGCCTGAGTCACCGCAGAGACCGGGATGACGGACGGAGTCTCTGGCATCTCTGGGAGAACATGGCCTATCACGCCGGCCCTGGCAAGACGCCCATGACTTGGAAAACGCTAACTGTATTTATGGTATGTGGTCGGGGATGTGGTTTGGGGCTTGAGAACGTGCTTTGCATGAGTGAGGTGCTGGGTTCTATGCCCAGCACCAACACATACATGCTCTATATGTACTTGAACACATACAACTACATATACATACACACATTCACACAATTCTATAAAGATAAATGTGTGTGCGTGTGTGTGTGTGTGTGTGTGTGTGTGTGTGAGTATGTAAAACACACACTCTTGGGAAACATTAACCAAATACTTCCTATTTCCATGGAGGTGAATTTCCATGAAGGATTTTTTTTTTCCTTTCCTTTTTGGGTCACACTCAGCAATGCTCAGGGGTTACTCCTGGCTCTGCACTCAGGAACTACTCCTGGTGGTGCTTGGGGGACCATATGGGATGCTGGGAATTGAACCTGGGTCAGCTGCGTGCAAGGCAAACGCCCTACCCGCTGTGCTATCACTCCAGCCCCTCCATGAAGGATTTTTGGGGGTGGTGTTGGTACCAGAAGAGGGAGCAGGGGATTGGGACCACACCCAGTGGTACTCAGGACTCACTTCTGACTCTGTGCTCAGAGGATGGAGATGCTCAGGGAATATCATATGTGATACCAAGATCCGAACAGGGCCAGCCTCAGGAACGAGGATTTTTAATCCCCATAAATCCCCGTGCAGACGGATGGGCAGTTTTCCTGCACCGAGAAGCTTACGCCCACCAGGATATGAGTCAAAGGGCAAAACTTGAGCATCTGAGTTTTAGAGTTTTCCCCGCCACTGTCAGAGGAGACGTTGTATGATGAATAAACACGACTGTCTGGTTGTTCTCAACCTCTGGCGCCAAGGCAGAGTGTGGTCCCACTGGGAACCAGGGCTTGGGGCTATTTTCCCTCCTCCAGCTGGGAGAATGAGCAAGGAAAACCTCTTCCAAGGGAAAGCTGTCACAGGGCTCGAAAGTGACAGGAAACTGGCAAGTGAACAGGATGGGGTAGAGAGATCATTTGCAAAGAGCACAGCATCACCATGGGAGGCAAGTGTACCGTCAGGGAGAAAGACCTCTCAGGCAAGAGATGCAGGACAGGGGGTAAGGGGCTGCTTACGCTGTCGACCCTGCTAAGCACCCAGGCATCACTTATGGTCTATGGCCCCCTGAGGAGCACCTGCATCAAGAGGCAGGAACTGCCCCTGAGCACTGCTGGGTCTAGCCAAGACCACTCTGTACCACATCCTCTCTCCCAGGTAAAGCAAAACCGCGCCCGAACAGGGGACTTCCTCACCAGCAATTTCAAAAGCCATCAAAATCCTGAAGTAGGGGCTAGAGCGATAGCAGAACAGGTAGGGCATGCTATTGATTGATCTGAGTTCGATTCCCAACATTCCACAAATTCCCCTAAGCACCGCAAGGGATAATTCCTGAGTGCAGAGCCAGGAATAACTCCTGTGCATCACTGGGTGTGACCCAAAAATCAAGCAAACAAACAAACAAACCAATCAAACAAAATCCTGAAATACTTTAAACCATTTGGGGACATCTCTTAAAATTAACATAATTGGGGGCTGGAGTGACAGCAAAGAGGGTAGGGCATTTGCCTTGCACGTGGCCAACCCAGGTTCGATTCCCAGCATCTCATATGGTCCCCCGAGCACCGCCAGGGGTGACTCCTGAGTGCAGAGCCAGCAGTAACCCCTATGCCTGTTGTCACACACACACATACATGTACACACACACAAAGTAACATCACTGATCTTAAAAATAATCTTTTTTAATCACCGTAGGAACTTCAGTTAGACATGGAGGTTCCTGTTTTCTCCGCATTTACTCACCCATCCACATCTTTTTCTGGTTTCAAGGCATTGAGGACTTTGCTGGTGAATGCGTCCTCAGACACCTGAAGGGCGAGGCCGTGCACCCGCGGGTCTTCATTGATCTTCAAGATTTCATCTATGATCTAAGGGAGAAGGGAAAAAAAGCCATCTTAAATAAAATATATATTTCACGTATCAAAAATATAAAACCAAATAAGCTTTACGCATGAAACAAATTTATGAAAATTTCTCTTGCATGCTCTTCACACCGGGAGACTCAGTGGTCAGCAGAGGGAAGGCAACTATTTTTCTTTTCATCATTTTTATTAAAAGTGCAAAAACAAAAATTCTGGGCTGAACATTTTTTTTTTTTTTTGGTGATTTCTCCATCTTTTCACTCTCTTCTCTACCAGAACAAAATAAAACCAAAACAAAGCCCAAAAATAAAAAAAAAAAGTTTTAGATAGGCAAGAGAGAAGTAAATCTTGGCAACTATCTTTGCACCCAAAAAGGAGTTAATTTTTTTATTTTATTTTTATAAAGTTGTTGATGATTTACTACATTCACTATTCCAACACCAATCCCACCACCATTATTTCCATTTTTTCCAATCACCACTGAAGCCTGCCCAATAGCAGACGCTAAATAATTCATTTTGTACTGCTTGTTATGAATAACTCGCTAAAAATGATCAAAAAATGTTTTCTTAGAAGAAAGTATGTAAAGATTGCTGCATCTCACCCTGGAACCATTAAGCCCTTGTATGAGAGATTACTACCATGTTGTACAGGTTGGTTAAGTCTTGTGTGTTAATTATTTTCCTAATCAAGATGGGTTGTCTTCTCCTTTACATCCCGTCCAATGTGGTGTGCAGTTCCTGGTATATCATTGGTGTAGAGTATGAGATGTCTACAATTTTAAATGAAGTGATACAGCTGTAGTTAAAATTTATTTTCTTTTGGGGTCACACCCAGCGATGCACAGATGCACAGGGGTCCTGACCCTGCTCTCAGGAATTACTCCTGGTGGTACTGGGGACCATATGGGATGCTAGGAATCAAACCAGGTCAGCCACAAGCAAGGCGAACGCCCTACCCGCTGTGCTATCGCTCTGCCTTTGGAGTTAAATGTTTCACTGGATGGTGACTCTGGGGTCTGGTAACATCTCAGCAGCTTGTTGATCTCTTTTGAGATTTATTTATGTTTCTCTGGATCATGGCCTGTTAATGAGCTTATATGGCACCAGAGGCAGTTCATGGGTGTGACTGCCAGGCTCCCTGAAGGACAGGGGGATGGGGGAAGTCACCCATCCCCAAAAGTAGCCAACTTTCTGGAAGACGAAGGAGCACAAATCTTGAGTGCTCTGACACAGCCTGGCAAGGCTGTGTTTCAAACATTGTGTTTGCCAAAAGTTCACTCCAAGAGACATCCTTGCTATCACTCAGGTCTCCCCCTGCCTGGATTGGAATGCCACATAGAGAACATTTTCAAAGGCTTCCGACAGATCAACTCTCAGCCTAGAGATCGCCTCGTTCTAGAACACTCTCATAACCTACTCTTTAGAAGGAAAGTTTAAGGATAGTTTGGGAAGTTTGTGTAACAGCTAAGGCATGCCTGGAAGCAAGCAACACTTCTCCCACTCTCTCTGTTGATGTCCGTAACATGCTGACTGATTCACTGGGTTACAAATATTATTTGTTCTGGGGTCACTGTGCCTGCCGTGCATGCAGCCGACTCAGTCAGCTGCCCAACACCACAAATATTTATGGGGTCTTCCCTGGAGGCACCCCAAGCACTGTCCAGCACCGCACAGTCTAAGCAGTATTGCATCCTTAAGCCCTCAGCCCCAGGGCCTTCTGAGTAGTGCTTTGGAGCTCTTTCCCCTTTCAAAATAGATTTGAAAACAACACGACTAATATTGTTGGTTCATATATAAGTGAGATACTAGCTTCATAGGTACGAATGGAAAAGCGGGGGCTGGAGTGATAGCACGGTGGGGGGGGGGGGGGAGTTGGAGTGATAGCACAGCGGGTAGGGTGTTTGCCTTGCATGTGGCCGAGTCAAGTTCAATTCCCAGCATCCCATATGGTCCCCCGAGCATCTTCAGGAGTGATTCTTGAGTTCGTGAGCCAGAGTAACTCCTGTGCAATGCCGGGTGTGACCCACGAAACAAACAAACAAACAACAACAACAACAAAATAAAATGGAAAAGCGAACAGAAAACCAACACTTCCCCCAGAAAAATAGCAAGAAAACTATAAAAGTGGTCACTGTCACTGTCACTGTCCTCCCGTTGTTCATCGATTTGCTCAAGCAGGCCCAGTAACACTGTGATTTGTTACTGTGTTTGGCATTTTGAATACGTCACGGGTAGCTTGCCAGGCTTTGCTGTGCGGGCGAGATACTCTCAGTAGCTTGCCAGGCTCTCCGAAAGGGGCAGAGGAATTGAACTCGGGTTGGCTGTGTTGGCCGCATGGCTGTGATAGCACCCTCTGTGCTATCACTCCAGCCCATAAAAGTGGTAAGAAAAGCAAAGTCAAGAACTATTCATACCAGCAGCAAAACCACCCAAGGAAATGCAAATTCTGTGACAGACAGGGATTATTCTGCAGATAGCCCTGCCCTGCACTGACATAATAACCAGGACAGTGGGTACTGTCCAGCCAATATCCTGGTTTCTTAGTCATACACTTCTGGCATTTTTTTATAGGGGCCACACTGATGATGCTCAGGGGACCACATGGTGACTGGGAGCATGGGACAGGCACATGCTCTGCCACACTGAGCCTAGCCCCAGCCCGGAGGCACCAAACTCCAACTGTGAGTTGGACCAGCACTGAGGTTCAAGACAACGGGAAGGACGCAGAAGGATATCTTTCAGGAAAAGTCCCGAAGGGGAGTGAGCACGGGCTGGACTTAGATCTCGGCCATCCTTTCTCTCCCTCGCTAGGGTCGAGAGCCCAGGGAACTTCACCCGGGCGTCGTGACAGAGAAAGCGAGACTGGCATAGTCATGCATCGGGCAAAGATCCCGCTTCCCTGCAAGACTCAGCAAGTCACTGAGACTTCCCGGCCTCGGGGCCCTGCCAGACACCTCCTCTCTGTCCCATAACCCAGGGTCAACCGCCTGTCCCTGCTGGTGAGTGGGACAGAAGGAGGATGCAGGCTCGGGATGAGTCCCTCCCTGGGTTCCCCCCACCATACCCACACACCATCCCCCCATGGCCGTGGTTGTGGCTGGAGCCAGGCCTAGGAGCCAGGCCTCCAAAAATAAGCTGACCATGGGACAGTTCCCGAGCACCCTTCTTGGGTCCCCCACCAATGACAATAACTAGGACATGGCAGAAGCCACAACGACAACATCTTACGAATAAATTAACAGCCCTACCTACCCATAAGGGCTGAAAGCATAGCACAGCAGGTAGGGCATTTGCCTTGCATGCAGCCAACCTGGGTTCAATTCCTCCGCCCCTCTTGGAGAGCCTGGCAAGCTACCACGAGTAACCCGCCCTGTAGGACAGTGAGAGAGGACAGTGCTACAGACAGTGCTACAATGCTACCTACTCATAAAATTCATAAACACAAACACTGTCCTCCCATTGTTCATCAATTTGCTCGGGCAGGCCCAGTAACGTCTCCATTTTGAGACTTGTTGCTGTGTTTGGCATATCGAAAACATCACGGGGAGCTTGCCAGGCTTTGCTGTATGGGCGAGATACTCTCGGTATCTTGTCGGGCTCTCAGAGAGGGATGGAGGAATCGAACTCGGGTCGGCCATGTTGGCTGCATGCAAGGCAAACGCCCTACTGCTGTGCTATCACCAGCCCATAAAATTCACATTTACAGAAATTAAAAATAAAATATGCAGGGAGGAAGGAAGAAGCAGACAAATAAACCCTTGGGGGAAAATAAAAAGGCAGGATCAAGAGTCCTTAACACAGGGCTGGGGAGAGCCCAAGGGTCTGCGTATGAAGGCCTAGGGTTCGACCCTGGCACTGCATGGTCCCCTGGGCACCATGGGGGAGCTGCATACCCCCCGCCCCCAAACCAATGGCAAAGCCACAGGAAATGCAGGTCTGGGGCCCAGGATAGGGCAGGGATGGCCTCTGCCCTGTAGGAACAGAGCCAAGAGTTCAGGACTGCAGACACCATGTACGGTGTGTGGTCTCCGGCACACTGCAACCAGTACATTCACACAGCATAACCAACACACAGCACAGCCGACACACAGCACAACCAACACATACCACAGCCGACACACAGCAAAACCAATAATGCAACAGCTGACACACAGCACAACGAACACACACCACAGCCAACACACACCACAGCCAACACACACCACAACCGACACACAGCACAACCAACATACACCACAGCGAACACACACCACAACCAACATACACCACAGCCGACACACACCACAGCCAACACACACCACAGCCAACACATACCACAGCCGACACACAGCACAAACAACACACAGCACAGCGAACACACACCACAGCCAACTGTATTCACATACCACAGCCAACACACACAACAGTCAAGTGTATTCACACAGCACATCAACACAAAGCATAGCTAACACACACCAAAGCCAAAACATACCACAGCCAGTGTATTCACACTCCAACGCTGACATACACCACAGCCAAATACACACCAAAGCAAACATACAGCACAGCCAACACATACCACAGCCAACTGCATTCACACTCCACAGCCGAACACACACCAAACATAAGCCACAACCAACACACAGCATAGCCAAGTGAATACACACACCACAGCCAATGCACATCATAGCCAACACATACCACAGCCAACTGTATTCACACAGCAATGCCAACATACACCACAAACAACACACACCACAGCCAACACTGCACAGCTGACACACAACACAGCTGACACACCACAACCAACATACACCAGTCAAGTGTATTCACACACCACAACCAGCACACACCACACCAATAATACCACGATAAAGTGTATTCATACATCACAGCCAACACAAAATACAATCCAGTATTTTCACACACAACCAAGCATATTCACACACAAGCAACACATACCGCAAACAAGTATAGTCACACACCACAGCCAACATACACCACAACCAAATGTATTCATACTTCAACCCACACAATAAAACCATACGAAACCAACACACCACAACCAAGTGTACTCACACACTGCAACCAAGTGCTTCCGCACACAGCAACCAACACACATCACAACCAAGCGTATTCATACACCACCACTACAGGGAGAACCCTGGTTCCTTTTTAAAAAGGAAGGGTAGGGGCTGGAATGATAGCACAGTGGGTAGGGTCTTGCATGCCGACCCTGGTTCGATTCCCAGCATCCCATATGGTCTCCTGAGCACCGCCAGGAGAATTCCTGAGTGCAGAGCCAGGAGTAACCCCTGAGCATCGCCAGGTGTGACCCAAAAAGAAAAAAAAAAAAGGAAGGGTAAACTGAAATATGTGTGAACATTTTTAAGAAGTGCTTGTTTGGAGAATAGTTGAGATAAGTACCAGGAGATCGGCTCCACAGCTTAGAAGCCGGCAGCACATGCTGGGAGAAAATGCAGCTCAGATAGAGAAGGGAACATCCAGTAAAGGGTGTTTGGAGGACTCGCTCAGGATGCGAGAAGCGTGCTGAAAGTAGACTATAGGCTGAACACGACGGCCACTCAATACCTCTATTGCAAACCACACCACCCTAAAGGAAAGAGAGAACAAAAGGGAATGCCCTGCCATAGAGGTGTGGTGGGGTTAGGGGGAAGGGGGGGAGGGGGGGAGTGCTACTGGAATCATTGGTGGTGAAGGATGGGTACTCGATCACTGTTTAACTGAAACCCAAGCACGAAAGTTTGTAAGTCTACATCTGTACCTCACGGTGTTTCACAAATGAATAAACAAAATAAGTGCTTGTTCGGGGGAACCGAGAGATTGTGCAGGGGTTAAGGTGCTTCTTTGACCCTGGTTCGATCCCGAGCACCAAAAGAAGTGACCCCCGAACACAGTGCCAGCAGTAGACTGAGCCTGAAGATAGCAGAAACCCTTGGCTATGGCACGTGTGGCCCCACACACCTCCCCAGGGTCCTCCGACTTCCCAGGCTCCTCCTGTCTCCTCCACCCTCTGAAGCGAGCGTGGCTCCGAGTTCTCAGAGGCCGGTCCCCCCGGCTCCCCGTGGACCCTGACTCTCCTGTTTTCTCATGGGCATGACAGAGGCTGGAAGTGGATGCGACATGAAGGCTCAAATTCTTTTTTTTTCTTCTTTTTAAATTTAAGATGAATTTTTTTTAAATTTATTTTTTGGGGGTCACACCTGGCAATGCACAGGGATTACTCCTGGCTCTGCACTCAGGAATCACCCCTGGTGGTGCTCAGGGGACCATATGGGATGCTGGGAATCGAACCCAGGTCGGTCATGTGCAAGGCAAACGCCCTACCTGCTGTGCTATCGCTCCAGCCCCGAAGGCTCAAACCCTTTACCATGTACTCCGGGAAGCCCCCGAAAGATGACAGAACTGAGGGACAGGTAGCTGGGTCTCCGTCACTTTCAGGGTCCCCCCTCCACCGGCACTGTCTGACCCTCTAGTGCCACAGAAAACCACAGATGGGCTGCCCCGGCTTCTGTCACTGGCAGCTCCCGCCAGGCAGAGTCTAACAGAATCCCCAGGGCCCCAGGGAGGCTGCAAATGACCAGCAGAAGATGCAGACCTGAGCCTCCGCCCCCCTCCAGCCCAGGACATCCTCCTTATGGGGTGCCTCATCTCCCTGGCTGGAAGCACCCCCATGAACAGGATGAAAGCCTGATTACCCCCTGCTAGCAGAAACAATGAAATCATAACCATGCCATCAGACCCCACGCCAGGCTCTTTTACTGGGGGGCGCCCCTGCAGGGGGGCAGGCGAAACCCCTCCTTGCCCCATGGGACCCAGTTCCGGCAGCCAAAAACTTCCACTATATATATATATTATATATATAACACAAGGCTCAATCTTTAATAACATGTAAGTGATCTCTTATAGAAGGGTTTAATGGCCCCTGGGTGAAACACAATAATCCTCACACTCTTTCCTCTGAGGATACTTTTTTGTAACATTCTCAGCAGATTTTCATAACAAACAATATAAAATATATCATTTCGGTTCTACTTTGGGGCAGGGATTGGGTTTCAGGATAGAAACATTCAAAATATGATGGTGGGAAGGTGCAATGGTGATAGAATTGGTGTATGAATATTAAATCACTGTATCACTGTCATCCCGTTATTCATTGATTTGCTCGAGCAAGCGCCAGTAACGTCTGCATTTGTCCTAGCCCTGAGATTTTAGCAGCTTCTCCTTGCTCGTCCTACACTGGAGGCTCTTTCAGGGTCAGGGGAATAAGACACACCATTGTCACTGTTTTTGGCATATGGAATACGCCATGGGAGCTTGCTGGACTCTGCGGTGATGAATATTAAATGTAATCAAATATCGTGAGCTACTTTATAAAAAAATAAAATAAAAATAAACTTTAAAAAAAAGAAACAACAAAATCACACACACACACACACACACACACACACACACACCAGAAACAAGGAGTGCTGTTGTGGGTGGTGGTGTTTTCTCGCTGTTTCAAATAATTACCTGAGCATTCAGCAAAAAGGACTCTGAAGATCATCTTGTCCTGTTGTTTTTTTTGTTTTGTTGTCTTTTTGGGGTCAAACCCCGCGATGCTCAGGGGTTACTCCTGGCTCAGCGCTCAGGAATTACTCCTGGCGGTGCTCAGAAACCATATGGGATGCCGGGGATTGAATCCGGACCTGCTGCATGCACGGCAAACGCCCTACCTGCTGTGCTATCGCTCCAGCCCCCATATCCCGTTCTTTCATTGCACAGAGACATTCAGAGAACACAGGGCCCAGGTCACACCTGTCAGCTAAGCGCCAAGCCAGAACTGGGCCTCCAGTGTGGACAGTGGGGGATTCCGCAGCACCTGTACTGGAGAAACACAGTCGAGAGGCCAAGCCACTGGACAGCAGGGAGGGTGCTTGCCTTGCACAAGGCCAACGTGGATTTGATCCCCAGCATCCCATTGGGCGCCCTGCAAACTGCCAGAATTAATTCATGAGCACAGGGCCAGGAGTAATCCCTGAGCACCGATGGATATGGCCGCAAAACAAAACAAAAGGAAAATCCATGCGGCCAAAGGGCCAGGGCAATAGCAGAGGGGGGAGGGTGCCTGACTTGCGCACTGCCAACTCAAGTTTTGAACCTCCATATTCCATACGGTCCTCTGAGCATCACCAGGGGTGACTCCTGAGTGCAGAGTCAGGAGTAACCCCCAAGCACCGCTGGCTGTGGCCCCAGCCCATTGCTATGCATGAGTCTCCTGCAAGATCGTGGTAAGGCCAGGAGGGGAAAATGATCCTCTCTCTCTCTCAGCAAACTCAGGGCCGGAGGAGATAGAACCTGCGCTCATAACCTGTGCTCCACACAGCCAAGGGGCTCAAACAGCTCCGTCAGCTCTGACGAGGGAAGAAAGGAGGGAGGGTACCCGGTGCCACTGACCTCGTCTTTGCTGCTATCCGGGGGAAGGCAGATGTGAGTGATGTCCAGACCCGCCTGAAATGAGAGCCACAGGTTACTCCAGTCCCCTAATGGGAACGCAGCGCCAAAAATATATAACAATTACTTAGGAAAGAAAAAAAAAAAATAGCGTCCTCACCTCCTCGGCCAATTTCTGGTTGATTTCCTGCAATAAGTTCTCATCGCCGGCCTTAGGGGAAGGGAGGAAAAGAGAGAGGGTGAAGACATTAAAAATAATAATAATTCACAACTCGATGACACAAAACCCAACTGCAAGTCATCCAGCATACAGGCTCAGACCCACAGAGGCAGCTCAGTGGCCCAGTGGAGCCACCGTCGTCCCTCCCCGCACCTGTCACTCTGGCCGTGCCAATGAGGGCAGCAAGCACTGCCAATCTCGGCTGGGAACATGGGGGTGGCAGCCAAGAGATGTGCGTGGAATTTTAAGTCCTTGTGTCCTGCCCTGGCTTTCAGCCCTTCACGCTCACGCAAGCTTCAGAGGACGAAGTAGCAAACGACTCAATCCCAGCCCCACTGAGCTACCTGCCCTGCAAATAAACCCAGGCCCACTGTCCTTTTCAGCCACAGTTCTTGGTTGTTTTTGCACCACACATGGTGGTGTTCAGGGGTTACTCCTGGCAGGGCTCAGGGGACCCTAAGGCATTCCAGGATCGAACCAGGGGCAACTACGTGCAAGGCCAGCGCCTTGCCTGCTGTGCTATCGATCTGACACTCGCTCACGTTTGATAAGCACATGGGAAGCACAACATATCTGTGTCATGCAGGTTCCGTGTCTCCTGACCACAAAGCTCTCCACACCCAAGGCCAGGAAAGACTTACTAGGGGATGGAACAATAGATAGTACAGCGGGCAGGGCACTCGCCTTCCTTACATGCAGCCGACCCAGGTTCGATCCCCGGCATCCCATAAGGTCCCCAGAGTAACATCCCACCAGCAGTAATTCCCTAGTGCAGAGTCAGGAGTAACCCCTGAGCATCGCTGGGTATGGCTTAAAAACAAAAAACAGGGACTGGAGAGATAGCACAGCTGGTAGGCCGACCCGGGTTCGATTCCAAGCATCCCATATGGTCCCCTGAGCACTGCCAGGAGTAACTCCTGAGTGCAGAGCCAGGAGGAACCCCTGTGCATCACTGGGTGTGACTCAAAAAAAAAAAAAAAAAACAGAACAACAAAAACCTGCACACTCAAAAGTTCTCCAAGGGGTAGGAGAGATAGTACAGCAGGTAGAGCATTTGCCTTACACACAACCAGCCCCGGTTCAATCCCAGGCATCCCAAATGGTCCCCATATGAGCACTGCCAGGAGTAATTCCTGAGTGCAGGGCCAGGAGTAACCCCGAAGCATCACTGGGTGTGACCCAAAAAACAAACAAACAAAAAAAACAACCAAACAAACAAACAAACAAAAAAAGAAAATCCCCAAGCTTTGAACCTTGAAGACACCAACTCAGCAGCCCCCAGGGCCCTGGCCAGTGGCCACTCTGCCCTCTGGCACGGTCCACTGGAACTTCTCGGGGAAGCCATGTAGCTAGACTTTGGTCACGCTCCCTCCTACCCTGAGAGCGTCCTCCTGTGGGGTCCGAGTCACTTCTCCGCTCACCTGGATAATAGCAAGAACTGGCTTGAAGGCAGGGTTCTTCTCCTGCAGTAAACTCAGGACTTCTTTGGAGTTTTGGATGACCTCCCTGTGCAAAGAGAAAAAACACCGTTGGCACCTAGTCAAGGCTTTGATGAGTGAAAGGTTGATGCCACACATCTGGGATGTGAGTGTCTCGCGAGAAGGAAGACCAAGGAGGCGAGATAAGCAGTCCAGCTGTGTCCAGGGACAAGCTGGGATCCTTACCCGGGAGCCCTGGGTACAGTGTGACCCTCTCGTTTAAAAGCGAAGCATCACTAAGAAACTGCTTTTTCAAATTGTTTGAACTCTGGATAGAAGAAATGAGTGTACTGGAAAGGCAAAATTGCGACCTGTGTAGTTAATAAGATTTTAAGATGGACTTGTGAAAATGAACGATTTTCAGTCTTATTTCTGTATTATTTCTATACCTGAAATGCACCTAACATCGAATGTAGATGTGTATATAGAATATAAACACATATGCTTATCTTCATGTATGATCAATCCCCCTGTTAAGTTTTCAGTTCTCTAATGCCAGAATTGTGTCTGGCTACATGTCTAGAACTTAGTACAATACCAGACATATAACTTGTTCAAAGAGTCTTTAAGCTGACCTAATCCACTACTTATTTTAAACTATTCCTAACTCTTCAGGCAGGAGGAGGGGGATTGAAACATACTGTTTTCGCTTTGGAATAATGGGTTGGGTTCGGAATGCTGCTTACTTGATCCAAATGATACACAATTGCTTCTTTAAAAATAAAAATTAGGAAAAAAAAAGAGTGAAGCATCAAGGGACAGGGCCTGAGGTAAGAAAACCCTGAGTTTCTTTCTTGGTTTTTGGGACATACCTGCAATGCTGGGCTGGAGCGATAGCACAGAGGGTAGGGCATTTGCCTTGCACACGGCCGACCCAGGTTTGATTCCTCCGCCCCATTGGAGAGCCCGGCAAGCTACCGAGAGTATCCCGCCCACACTGCAGAGCCTGGCAAGCTCCCCGTGACATATTACATATGTCAAAAACAGTAACAACAAGTCTCACAAAGGAGACGTTACTGGTGCCCACTCAAGCATATGAATGAACAACGGGACAACGATGCTACAGTGCTACCCTGCAATGCTCTGAGGTGGCCAGGGATCGAATCTGGGTCAGGCTTGTGCAAGGCAAACACCCTACTTGCTGTACTATCACTCCAGTCCCTGAGTTTCTCTTTAAAATAACCCCTTCCTTTCTGGCAATGCTCAAAGTGCTGCAGAGTATACCCCCATACAGGAGACCCTCATTTCTGAGACTGGCCGGCTTCCTCTGGCCAGAAACATGATGGGTTCCAGCAGCCCTGAAATGGAGTGCATGCATTTGATCCCTGCACTAATAATGTATCTGTCCTGGCCTTTGATAAGAATGAATCCTTAGGTGCCAGAGACATTGCTGAAAGAGTCCAGTACATGCTTGGTAAGGTGGAGGCCTGGGTTCAACCTCTGGTACCACATGGTCCTCTGAGCACTGCCAGGAGTGACCCCCAAGCCAAGAGAAGAGACAGAGCACCACCAAGTGTGGCCTCAAAGAAACAAGGAAGCGAGCGCACCCTGGGGTCGGAGACAAGGGACCGGATTTAGGGCCCCTGCATTCCACCAACCCCAGTCTGAAGTCCTGGCATTCCCAGGGCTCACTCCTGAGCCTAGAGCCAGAAATAGCCTCTGAGTGTGGTCCCAGAAAACAAACAAAAAAATTGTTAGCTCAAAAAAAAAGAAAAAACCTGTTAGCTTAAAAGTGAAAGACCATTGTTCCCACCAAAAAGAAGCTGTGGTCTAGGTAAATCCCAGGACTTATCGGGGAGAAACCAGTGGCAAAGCCCAGAAAGGAAACACACGGGTGCCTCCAAAGAAGTCCTAGAGCCACTCACTTCTTGGGAACCAGAAGTCTTCACTTCTGGTCAGTCCCAGTGGGGGAACCCTGGACAGTGGGATACGAGACGACAGATGGACTGGGAATAAGATGTTTGCTTCACTGGAACTGACCCCAGTCCAACCCCCCAGCAACCACCTACACTCCCCTGAACACCATCAGGAGTAATCCCTAAGCAGAGCCAGGGGTGCCCCCACTAAAAAAAAAAAATAAGGTGGCAGAACGGGGCACCCCCAGAGTGGCACTGATTTAGACAAATATGCAGAGTCAGGGCCTCCTTCCACAGTCTTTTAATTTTTTTTAATGTTTGTTTTTTTTGCTTTTTGGGTCACACCTGGCGATGCACAGGGGTTACTCCTGGCTCATGCACTCAGGAATTACTCCTGGTGGTCCTTGGGGATAGTATGGAATTCTGGTAATTGAACCCAGATCGGCCGCGTGCAAGGCAAACGACCTACTCGCTGTGCTATCGCTCCAGCCCCTCTACAGTCTTTTAAGAAGTCAGACTTCACAGACCCTTGCGAACACCCTTCTCGTTGGCAGAAGAGCTAGGGTAGGTGGCCTAATTCTCTCCCACGACAGAGGAAGGATTCCTTCTGGGACATGCGAGAGGCATCTCAAAGGCCATCCTTAGGGCTGTGGAGGCAACTTAAAAGCTGAAGCACCAACTTTGCATGCTGGAAGCCCCAGCTGGTCCCCAAGAGCATTAAACTAGGAGTGACCCCTGAGCACCACTGGGTGTGGCCCCAACCCCCCGCCCCCCCCGCCCCCGCACCCAAAAGGAGGCATTTTTCCAATCTGTTTTCTGTCTCTCAAGCTCTTTACATTCTGTTTTCTGTTTCTCTCAGGCACTGGCGAGAACAAAAGTACTTTTCAACGTGCCAAGTGCAGTTCCAGCCAGAAGCATCAGCAATAAAAATCCCTGAGGACAGAAGCGGTCTGGGCCAGCCTCTCCCCGTAGCCCCGAGGAAGCTGGTGAATGACGTGGCAATGGTTTGTGGCCTCAAGACTCTCAAGCTGGGTGTGACTCAAGGGGCAGATACAGGCCTGGTATGTGGGAAGGCCTGGGTTGACTCCCACCCCCAGCTGGGTGTGACTTCTGACAATGCACCACAAGCATATGCTGAGGCATGACAAGCCTTGCTGTGGGCAAGAAACTGGGCTGGAGAAACAGATCAGAGCGGATGTAAGCGGGCCGGCAGGGCACAGGTGCTGTGTTGAGGCCGGAGCAATAGCACAGTGGCTTGGGAGCTGGAGAGACAGCACAGCGGGTAGGGCATTTGCCTTGCACGTGGCCGACCCAGGTTCGATTCCCAGCATCCCATATGGTCCCCTGAGCACCGCCAGGAGTGATTCCTGGGTGCAGAGCCAGGAGTAACCCCTGTGCATCGCCAGGTGTGACCCAAAAAGGAAAAAAAAACAATAACACAATGGGTTGAGGGTTTGCTTTGCACATAGCTGATCCAGGTTCAATCCCCGGTACCCTATCTGGTTCCCCGAGCACCACCAGGAGTGACTCCTGAGTGCAGAGCCAGGAGTAACCGGCTCCACACCAGACCCCCCCCCCCAAAAAAAAAGCAAAAGCAAAGGTCAGTGTGTTCTGTAACAAAACATGGCCAAACACTTTCATTCCCAGAAGAATAAACAACGGACCGCCGTGCAGCATGAATGTGATGTCGAGGCCGTGCCTTGCAAGTGAGCAGGGCCGCGCTCGGCCTGGTAACTGAGACTGGCGATGCCTTTCCCTTCCCCACGTCCTGCACACTCCGAGGCAACTCTTCTGGCTGCCTGAGCCCGAAAGCACCAGACGGCGGCTGCCAAGTGGTTCTTGGCAAAGCCGAAGCACACAAGGCCCATTTGAGGAGCTTGGTGTGAAGGCTTCTGGGCCCGGGCCCAGAAAGTCTGATTCAGTTTATCGTGGTGGAGCCCGGAAATGAGTGTGTGGTTACAACCGCGCCCAGGGAGCTCAGCACGGACCCAGGGGAAGCACCACAGCGCCAGCCTTTTCCTGACCAACGGGGGGCGGGGCAGGGGCGTGGGTCTCACCCCACACTCCACTTGCTCGCTTGAAGTGCTGACCGGGGAGCCTTTTGGCCGGTTCTTTTTCTGTTTTATTTTGGGGCCTACCTGGCGATGCTCAGGGGTTACTCCTGGCGGGTCTCAGAGGATCAGATGGGAAGCCGGGGATCGAACCCTGGTTGGTCACATGCAATGCAAGCGCCGTACCCTCTTTGCCATGGCTGAAGGAAGTCCCACAACCCTGAAAACTTGCCCTTCTCAGCTCAGATAGAGAAGGGAGCACCAAATAAAGGGTCTTTGGAGGATCCTCCCAGGATGGGAGATGCATGTTGAAAGTAGACTATGGACCGAACATGATTGCCACTCAATGCCTCTTTTGCAGACCACAACGCCCAAAAGGAGAGAGAGAACAAAAGGGAATGCCCTGCCACAGAGGCAGGGTGGGATGGGGGGATGGGGGGGGGGTGGGAGGGATACCGGGATCCGTGGTGGTGGGAAATGGGCACTGGTGGAGGGATGGGTATTTAATCATTGTATAACTGAAACCCAAGCACAAAAATTTGTAAGTCTACAACTGTTACTCATGGTGTTTCACTAATAAAAATTAATAATTAAAAAAAAAATCTTGCGGGGGCTGGAGAGATAGCACAGCGGGTAGGGCGTTTGCCTTGCACGCGGCCGATCCAGGTTCGATTCTCAGCATCCCATATGGTCCCCTGAGCACCGCCAGGAGTAACTCCTGAGTGCAGAGCCAGGAGTAACCCCTGTGCATCGCCAGGTGTGACCCAAAAAGCAAAAAGCAAAAAAAAAAAACTTGCCCTTCTTAATCTCCTAATGGTACAGCTTCTCTGTGTCCCCCCAAAGAGTCACCAACAACAAACACTCATTCTGCTGAGTTCCCCAGAAACAGCGGTGGTCTTGCTGAGAGCTGCCACCAACTGAATGGAAATAGAGCATCCCAACGACAGTGGGAAAGGTACATGCTCGCACCAGGTGACCCTGTCTCCATCCACCAGCTGAGGACCACCCAGGGTCACTCCTGAGCACAGAGCTAGGACTATCCTGATCTAATGGCCCAAACCACTCCCCCTCCCCCAAATCTCTCAGTATCCTCTCTACCCCCTCCCCCCAGGAAACCAACC